TTTACTTTTTGCATTTTTCTCTGCCTGGGCAATCAATGTATTAGATTCACTTACGTTTAGATTTATCTCTCGTCAGTCTTCCTTTCTGATTCCTAATGCTGCTGTTTTAGTTGAAAGCCCTGAAGGGATTTTCTAATCTAGATAAATCCTGTTTATTTTGTTTACATATTCCCATGAGCAACACGCTTTGTAAATCCTTGTTCCTCACTGCTCCCAAACCCATATTTGATGATGATGTCCCTTGAAGTATCTTTTGTAAGAGAGGGACTGATTTGTGATGTGATCTTCTTGAATACAGTGTCATGCCAAATGTGTGGCAATGGATATTTACTGTATTTATGTTATAATATATGATGTCCACTCACTATTTATTTTATAATAGTTTATGGATTTTCTTGCTGGTGTAGAATGTGGCTTCGAGTTATTTATTCTGTTTTGGTATGTTCGGTTAAGTAGTGGTAATAACATATCAAATTTTCCTCCTGAGAGTAGGTCCCAGTCTGTGGAGCATTTAAGATCTTGGATGACTCGGTATTTTAGAGGCCAGGCTGATTTTAGAAATAGCTTCTTTACTTTGTTCTTCCAGACAGTTGTAAGCTGCTCCCAGACTGTGAGGTGCTCTTGAGAATAACATAAACCCTGGCATAAGGTGGAAAAATCACCTGGCCTACAGGTTGGACCATAACTTGTAACAGTGGAAGGCTGAAGTGCTCCAGCTTCTTTCTGCACCATGCACCTATGCCACACCTATACTCCGACCTTCAGATGGTGGGATTGCCTTATGAGCTGCTTTCACAACCTTTTAAGGCTTGTTCACATGTTCAGTGTAGTGTAAAAGTGCTTTTGGGAGGCAACAGATTCTACCTTTTAACTCCTTTGGTCCTTGCTATATTCTTGCATATTACAGCTTACACTAACTTCAACATAGTTACAGAATTTGATGTCGGAGGAAGATCAGGCTTCTTTGTTTTTAAACTCTTCTGTCCCTCAGTGATTTTTGCCACATTGCACAAGCCAAACAGGCTTTAGAACAGTGTAGTGCTTGGACCAGTAAACCTCAAGGAAATCCTGAGAGCTCCAGAAAGTGGTGGTGATTCAGTAGACCGCCCTCTCCCCTAAGAGTTGCTACTGAACTAGAGCAAAGCTCGTTTCCATGAGAGGTTTTTTTAGTACAAGTCATATTGCGTGGCTAGAAGTTCTGTTTCTGCCATCAACAAAGGTTTGAATGGGATCACATTGGTGGATGTAAGGGAGGGAAGGCAGTTCTGCCTGCTAAAAGAATCAGGCTAAGATTAGGGAAGGTTGATGGAAATTTTCCAATTTGTTTGCGGGGGGGTTAGGAAAAATCTAGGTTGTCAAGTAAATACATTCTTCATCAAAAGTATCTGCTTTCTAGGGACATGTTCGTTGCTGTTGCTTGAAATATTAATGCTGCAGTTGAGAGGTGTGGTTTCTCTGCATATTTATTTTACTCTGGGGACTAGGATCCTCAGGTGAAGAAACTGAGGTACAAGCCAGTGAAGGGATGTATAAAAAATAAAGGGAGTGATTTCCTTGGATGAAAGTGCCAGTCCCAAAATGGAAGTTCAGATTGTAACACCAGCACTCAAGAAACAAAAAACTCCAGTGTGACGATAATGCTGAACAGTGTTTCTCACACGGACCTATGTGCACCCATGGGGGTCTGTGGCAAACTTCTATAGGGTATGTGAGAGAAATGAAGGGAAAGAAGAAGGGAAAAGGAAAACATAAATGGAGGGGAAAGAGAAAAAATGAAGACCACTCTACAATACTACTTTAGTTACTGAAAAGCAATGCAGTGTCATGAAACATTAATATATTATTTTTATCTATAACACACAATAATAGGAGTGTCCGACAGTATGACAATCTTAAAAATACACTTGGGGGTGTGACCCCAAATAATTTGAGAACCACTGCTGTAGAAGAATCCTGAGGTTTATGCCCCTGGACCCCTCCCAAAATGTCTCAGAGCTATGTGTTTCCCTTAATGCATCACAGTACCGCCCCAAGAAGGAAACCACAATACATTATAGGAGATGCAATCCAGCCTTGGAGCCTGGCCAGGGAGTAGAAGAGAGGCATGAGGCACCCAAAATAAGTTCCGTCAGACACTGGCAGCTTTTCCCAGTTGAGTGGTTGGCCAATAAATTTTGGTTTTCAATATATGCAAAAACATCAGAATTATTTGTGGAAAGGGTTGCTGAAAAATACTTTTTTCTGCATGCAGCAACATTTTCCAGCTCTTGAAAAAGAATTCTGTCTAGTTCTAGAGCTGAGACTGTGGTAAGAATTAAATATTCTTATCCTAGTTGCACCAATATTGCATCTAAAAACTTTAAAATCTGTTTAAATAGATGCAATTTTCTCATATTGAACAGGGCTGTGAATGTATGTAGATGTATATGTGTGTGAGGGAGAGAGGCATGCACATAAAAATACAGAGAAAGAGAGGTGACCATTTGGAAGTTTTGGATGGTGACAGTGTTCATGTTTCTACTGAAAAAAATCCCTCTAACAGTAACAGACAGACTTCTTACCGTGTTACAGACACCATGACCCTCTTCAGTGATCAGAGTTTGCATGCAGTATCATCCACATACTTTATTACAGAACTTCAGGAACATGCCTCTTCACAATAAAAATTTCAAAAAGTTTACAAAACTACTATTACAAATCAGAAATGCTTTTATGAAGTTGGAAGGATAAATTTGATGCTGAAAAACAGAGGTTGACATTTGTGCCTACTACTACAGTACTATTATGCCAACACTTCCAGAATCTAACCTTGTACTGGAACACACCTATTCACATCATCATCATCATCATCATCATGAATAGTAAAAGTAAAATGGCACCAACTACTTTAGGGGACAATAAAATTCTGGTCCTTTAGCAAAGAAAAAATAGTCCCTTACACTTCAATAGCTAACCCAGAGTGCAGTGATGTAGTCAAATGGAAGCTGAGAAGGGGCTTTAACCATCCTATTCAGTACCAGAGCAATATGGACAGGCAGATTTAGTGGTTTCACAGCAATCGCTCTTGGGGGTAAGGTCTTGAGTATATGTTTGTATTTACTATAGAAGCAACTACTGAAGTGCCGAGGTTATTTCAGTTGAGAAAAATTTCACCTCTAAATAATGGCCTTTTGATACTGAATGGCACACGTGCCTCAGTGTAGAGGGCCAAATTCTTCCCTGGTGCGACCCCCACAGACTTCAATCCAATTATCTCAAAGACAAATTTTGCCCAAAATCTTCAACTTCCATCACTAACGTGTAACGCAATATCTGAACTTCTGCTGAGCAGGGCAGAGTAGCTGGGGTGGTTCGTTCAGTGTCAGGGCATGCTACTAAATACTAAAATGACGGTATTTCAGCTAGAGTGAGACCCTCACGTCAGTTCAGTTCACCTTTACAACTCTGAAACAAAACAATGTGGACAAGGGGAATAGTGATGCTTTGGGGGCAGAAAGGAGAGGGAAGGAGTTGATCTATCCACTAGCTCATGGGAGTAAACAAATTTTAAACTTCAAACAATACAAAATTAAGGCTGCTGGGAAGTGGTGTTAGTCCTCATTATGTAACATACCCCACTCAGTAAAATAACTTGAATTGTATTCCTGGAACAACTGTAGTGCATCTCAAGAAGGCAGTCACCACAGCACACAAGTGACAGGAGTTCAAGGCAGTGGTTTAATGGATGGATTGTAACCTTCAAATCCTTTTGGCCATGTGATTTCCACCTTCCCCACCCCCTCCCACACACACAAACATGTTTAATACATGTGGCAAAAGGCTTCCTTAGTGATTTAAAACTGGAATGGCTACTTCCTACCATGTATAAATTGGTGGGGAGGGAGTAGGAGAGGGTTATTCCAGTTTTTGATCATAGACCACTAGCTTTTACAGAATTATCAGTAAAGGGCTGGATTGTCTGCAAGGTGCGTGCTCCCCTTGCCCTCCCACAAATGACCATGACCACCTCCTCCTCGTGTGTCCATAAAACCTGTCACAGCACAGGACGAGGGGAAGATTAGGCCCATTTGTGGGTGAACAGAATGTAGTTGTAACCATGGCTCCATCCCCTCCTCCCAATATACTGATCAGTAGAGATGAAACAGGCAGCATTAGATTGCATGCGCCTGTCCACAAGAGCAAGGGGAAAAGTTGTGATACTGTTTCATCCGGGGACTGCTACAGGGGCAGAGTATACTGGACACTAAAGATTCAGTCTAGCCCTGGTAAAATGAAAAGTAAATCCTTGCATACATTAAGTGCAAAACTCAACTACCCCTTAATTATGGAACTGAAATCAGCACTTCCATCATATTCTGCATCCAGAAAATGTGGATCCCTGTAGACAAAAACCCTCTTGCTTTACCTAAGCTTGTTATTACTTTATGAAGATACATAAAGCAATGTGCTTTCTCCATTTATATTGTATAGCACCAAAATTTAAACTCGAGGTAAGAATGCTTCAGATGTGCTAGAGCATTTTGGTTATTTTAACCACAGGAACAGGGCACTTGGGACTTTAGTAAGGGAAAACTGTCACAAGCCTGCCTGTGTGGGCAGAGCTGCTGGCAGCCTAAACCACTCTAAATGGTTCAGGTGATATAGCAGAGGAGTGTTTTTGATGGCTGAAACAAGTTATAGCCCAGTACGTAGATTTGTTACAAAGATTAGTCAAGGAATCTCAGGTTGATCCCGTCTTGCTTCCAAAAAAATAATGTGAAAACTTTTTCTCAAACAAAAAAGACCCTTTCCTGGAATTTGGACACAGTGGGCACATCTACATGAGATGCTAGAAGCACAGTAGACTAACTGTACTGCACATTAGTGTGTCACAGAGCAAGCCAGGCTAATGTGCAGTAGAATTAGCCTACTGAGCATTAGTGTCCCATAAAAGATGTGCTGGCGTTACTGTGCAGTAGTGTCAATAACGGTGCATTTAGTACCTGTTATCACAGGTACTAAACTTAATGCACTATAATTATGGCACATTAGTGCACATGTAGATGTGTCCAGTATAACAAAGGACAGCTATACATACCCTTTTGAGGTTGTGGGCAACTTTTAACTTGTTTACAGCCATTAAAATAGCAACATCTACTATAGCTTTCTGAAACACTAGCTATGAAGTATGGTAGTACAAATTAACTCCATAGAAGAAAAAAGTCTCAATGTTGTTATAAGAAGGAGTAGATAAATATTAGGGATTTTACAGGGCAGCAAACGGGATGAAACAGGAAAGACTTAGGAAAAGAGTGATATAGCAGCGTACAGCAGTTCTATGGTTTTGTTGCTACACCTCAGTATGGTAAAGATTGTGACCAGAGATCAAGCCAAAGTGAATGAACCAAGGGGGAAAAAATTCCCAAAGACTGGCTCTAAAAAAGAATCCAAAAGCGGTAATCATAAAAAAGATGAAATTTCAAACTCACTGGTTTGTGTGCAGAACACCTGAAGGACAATGATACAGAATGGTCACAAGGGAATCCCTAACCTAAATCAATAGTCTGAGTGCATCAGAGTATGAGAGCTGGAAAGAAACCTCAAATAACCTTATTTCTATAAAAGAAAGATCCTAAATGGGTAGCTCAAGGTTTGCGTTTTTCTTTTGGAAATACAATTTGCAGAAATAAATATTTTAATCTGGCTAAAAACAAACAAATAAACAAGATAAATGGAATCCTATTTTTGTGAGCTCTGATGAAGTCTGGCTCTGTATAATCAGCTGCACACAAGTGAAGGAGATTAACACTTAACATATCAGATCCTGGAGCTCCTTGTCAGTCAGCTCATTGACTTCCATGATCTTTTCCAAGTGTTCCATGTATCGGGCATGGTCCTGCATGAAGTGTGGTACCCTCGTGTTCTCAATCACAGCTAATTCCTTCAGGCGATCCACATCCTCATAGGAGATCTAGAGGACAGCAAAAGGGGTCAATTCCAAGCTGCATCCATTTTGCATATTTGCAACATTTCATTGAATCACAGAAAACTAGAGTTGGAAGGGACTTCAGGAGGTCATTTAGTTCAACCTCCTGTTCAAAGCAGGACCATACCCACCTATATCATCCCAGCCAAGGCTTTGTCTAGCCAGGTCTTAAAAACCTCCAAGAATGGAGATTCTACTACCTCCCTGGGTAACCTGTTCCAGTGCTTACTACCCTCCTAGAGCTAGAATTTTTCCTAATATCTAACTTAAACTTCCCTTGCTGCAACTTGAGACCGTTGCTCCTTGTTCTGTCATCTGCCACCACTGAGAACAGTCTAGCTCCATTCTCCTTGGAACTATCCTTCAGGTAGTTGAAGGCTGCTATTAAATTCCCTCTCAACTTTCTCTTCTCCAATTCCCTATATAAGTCCAGTTCCCTCAGCCTCTCCTCAGAAGTCATGTCCCCCAGCCCCTTCACCATTTTGTTGTCCCTTGCTGGACTTTCTCCAATTTGTCCACATCCTTTCTAAAGTAGGGGGCCCAAAACTTGACACAGTATTCCAGATGTGGCCTCACCAGTGCCAAATAGAGGGGAATAATCACTTCCCTGAATCTGCTGGTAACACTCCTACTAGGACATCCCAATATGCCATTAGCCCTCTTAGCAACAAGGGCACACTGTTGGCTCATATTCAGCTTATTGTACATTGTAACCCCCAGGTCCTTTTCTGAAGAGCTGCTGCCCAGCCAGTTAGCCCCCAGCCTGTACCGGTGCATGGGATTGTTTCATCCTAAATGCAGGACTTTGCACTTGTCCTTGCTGAACCTCATGAGATTTCTTTTGAGCCAATCTTCCAATTTGTTGAGGTCTCTCTGAATCCTAACCCTTCCTTCCAGTGTATCTACTATTCCCCACAGGTTGGTGTCATCTGCAGACTTGTTGCGGGTGCACTCTATCCTATCTTCTAGGTCATTGATACAGATATTGAACAAAACTGGCTCCAGAACTGCCCCTGGGGCACTCCACTTGATACTAGCTGCCAACTACACATTAAGCCATTGACTGCTACCCTTTAAGCCCAACAATCCAGCCAGTTTTCTATCCACCTTACAGTCCACCCAACCTGTACACTTCCTTAGTTTTATCCATAAACAGAATCTGATTTATTTATTTATTTATGCTGCTGTAGCTGGCAACAAAATAAGATTCAAAGGCACAGCGGGTTTGAAGCAGATTGCTTGAATCTATGGGTGCCCATACACAAGCACGGAGGCTGCTCCGACACGCTGTAATTCCAGCGCATGGGAGCAGACTTGATTAATCGAGTCTACTGGAGTGTGTTAATTACCGTGCTCCAGCAGCCTCCCATGACTCATGTATCAGTGTCCCCAAGCTTAAAAATGGCAGTGGTGGTGCTTGACCTAAAGCTCGTTGAACAAACTTTGTTCAAGTGCCCTCACTGCCATTTTTATTTGTGGGGATGCTCATACATGAGACACTGTGGTGCTTTAATTTGAACGGCTGCCAGAACCACTCAAATTAAAGTGCTGCCACCCCCCACCCCCAGAGCACATGTAAAAGTACCCTTCATTTGGAGGCAATTCTAGAGTCTGACTGCAACTTCAGGAAAATGACTACATGCTGTCAAAGCAATCCCAATTCCGCTTACAGTGAGGTGAATGGACAAACTCCAAGTGACTTGCGTGACAGCAGATCTGGGCTCCAGTGACTGATAATGCAGATGAACTAACTAATTTAGAAAAACAATGATTTTCTATTCTTTTTCTAAATTAGCATTCTATTTTTCAATATATAGAAAAGGCAGGATTGGAAGAAGTCCTCAAAAAAGTTCAGATAAGCTTTGGGGAAGCAGAAGTGTTACCAGATCCAAAGCACTCACCCTTTAGTTAATTGCAGTTGTGCAAAACTGCAAGAATGGTTTGTGTTAGGAACTAACATGTTCCAAATAATAAATGCAGTATCACTTATCCTAAGCAGTCAAAAAATCATGAGCCAGTTCTTGGATCCTTGGTTTACCCACCACAAAATAGTTAGGGTATGCATTCAGGTTATGTTTGAAAGCTCTAATTGCTCACATTTGGGCTTGAAAATACTATTTTAAAAAAATTAAAGCTAAGATTCTTCTATAATCCCTTGATTCCTGGAGCTGTAAAAACAAATATCCCAATGAGGACTGGCACCACTGTGACTGGAACATGGAGGACTGCATGTTCACTAAAGGAGCCATCCAAAGCCAAGATCATCCAAAGAACTCTTCCCCCACCCTCACTCCCCATTAGCACTTCTGCAGAATCTGGCCCTATACAATTCCTTAGTTTGAGTTTTTTAGCCTGGCATGTGCTGGATCAAGTTAATTTTATAGTTTTTTTTTTTTATACTACCTTGCAAAGCAAGATGTTTGTGCAATGACTGGTTGAGTGAGCTTTGTTTTGTCCCTTCCAGCCCTAATGTCTATGAAATCTATGAGAAACCAATACAAGATACGTTATTTATTTTTACAGAGTGTGTTAAGTGGCCAGAGTGCTTGATAGTACTGCATATATTTTCTGCAAATCCTCACAGTGCTCCCACGTTCATTTCAGTCATGGGAGAAAATGCAGCTTCTCTGGAATGCCAAAGCCTTAATCACGGTGTTTGCTTGACACAGCCCTGTTAGCAGGTGCTTATTCCTGTTGAGAAAAAGTTAAAATGGGTTCTGGTGACTCACCCCGAGGCAGATGGCTTTTTAAGGGGAGAGTGACTCTTTGGCAGGAAAGAAATGCTAGGTCTGAAGGAACCATAGGAGCAGCCAGGTCTGGTGAGGGGGGCTGATCTTGCTTTTACTATGGTCAGACTGCAGGAAAGGAGTAAACTTGGACTTTGCATAGTCTGCAAACTGTGTTTGCAGAGCAGGTGGGGAAAGCCACCTGCTTGAACACATGAATAAACCCCTGGGCTGCAGTAGCCAGATAAATCCTGCTTGGAAAGCAAACACCTACAAAGTGATTCAGATCTAAGCAGAACTGTTAAGATGGGACACATTCTAGTTAAGCTATATATAGAATCATGTGACAGAAAGCCACAGGCCTGACACTAAGATGCACCCCCTCCTCCACACAACCAGGCCTCATCGATTCCAAAGTATGCTGCTGCTACCTATGGAAACAGTTATTCACATTTTTCAACATGGGTAAATAGGACTTCAGATAAAAACAGATAAAATATCTTGGTTGACCTGCTCCTCAAAAGTCAGCCCTAATAGTTAAACTTTAGCAGAAGTTGTAAGCAACTGAGAACAAGCTCTTACAATGAAAATACTGCAACCTTAACTACTGGCACTGTAGCCACTGCCACCTATGCATAAAATCATGTTACTGTCCCACACAATACAATCTAGTAGTATTCGTATACAACTTAAAACTACAAAGCCAAATTCATCCCTTGTGTAACTCCAGGTCAATTGTGTTGCCTTCCTGAAATAGTTTAAAAACAAGAATGTCATATTAACTTCACTAAGCCAATGACTCCTGTTGTAGTTTCCTTCTCTAGTGAAGAAGCATAACCACATCTGCTTTTTCTCTAGATACATAAAGAACATTCCTCTCACTTTCTCTGCAAAAAAGGAAGTAACTTATGCCAAGTCATATATTCATGACCACACCTACTAACTGTAGGCAAAGACCCTACTGCAGCCTCTAACATTTCCAACTTCAAATAAGAGCAGCCCATCATAGCATTGCTGAACATATATAGGGAATGGGCAGCTTCAACTTTCATTTTCAAGAGCACAGCAATAAGGCCTTTCTATCACCTTCAGCAAGCCTCTGATGAAATCTATCTTACCTTTTGAAGGACAGTAGGACTGGGAGTACTTCCAGTCCACTTCTGGGTCTGCTGCTGAGCATATGGGGGACACCTGCCCTGCACCCTCCCTGGCTCAGCGATCGGCCATGGGGGGATCCAGCCCTGGGGGACTCCCCCAGACCCAGAAGGCACCAGTCACCGAGCTGGGGAAGGGAGGAGGGGTCCCCCTTGCACTCCCCAGTGGACCCGGAAGTGGACCAGAAATGCTTCTGGTCCACTTCCGGGTCCACTGCTGAGCATGCTGGGGGTCCTGCCTGCTGCGCTCCCATGGGATGCTCCATCCTCCCCAGCATCTCAACATTGATGAACTGCCTGGTACCTTGAGGTATGTAAAAAAAAAACATTTAAAGCTGCGTCTATGTCCGAATCGCTGAATCTCTCCAAATCGATTCAGAAGGTTCTGATTCAATTTGGAGAGATTAAAGGTTCTCCCAATTTGATTTGGATTTGGAGATTTAGCTGTCAAATCAGGCCAAATCTCCACTGAATCGAATCAGTGACTAAAGCTTCACACAGCCACAAGAGTTAGCTCATCTTTTCCTTTCTTAACACGTGGGAGCCATCTTAAGAGCATTTAGTGAGCAGGACAGGTAACATCTAACAACACTCTTGTGTTAAGCTGAAAATGTGACATCACTGTGAGACAAGGTTCTTTGGGTAAATCCAACTTCTTTTATTAAACCAACTTGATTGGTTGGAAAAATTCTTCTTTGCAAGCCTTCAGGTACAAATACCCTTTGTCAGGCAGAGGAAGCATCTGCAGTTGGTCTGTGCTGTTCCTGGATGGAGTAGTAAAGCAGCCAGAGGCCAGTATATATGCAAGAAAGCCAGTCAGTTAAAATGTAAATTGAGGTAGTCAATATGTGAGAGAGAGGTGGGTGTGGGAAGGGGAAAGGATGTATCTGTAGTCAATGGACGTGGGCAGGGGGTAAGGGAAAGAATATAGCTGGTAAAAAGTGGAGAGATACCTGGAGAGATAAATGATAGGCAGGTTATAATGTGTCATAAATGCAATATCTATATTTAGTCCATGATTTTTTGTATCCAGTAGGTTGATGAAGTGAAGTTTGTACGCTCACCTGTGAAAGGTGTTTTGTAAGTTCCCTTGGAGGATTAGAAC